TATATATATATATGGAATTGCTTGATCATAAGATTTGCATATATTCAGATTTACCAACCAAGCCCCTTCCCCAGGGATAGACTCATTCACAGCAACTAGCATACACTGACCTAACAGGTGAGGAGGTACCCAGTACTGAGTGTGGCTCTCTAGAAATAGGAATGTGCTTTCTTTGACTTCCTGCTCAACATTGCCCATGGTTCCACAGGGAGAAACAAAGACAAGGAAGATTAATCATGCACAAGGGTAGCCAAAGCTATAACTATAGATCTTACTCCTAAAAAAAATAAGGTAAGATTCAAAAGAAAAGTCTCTTTAGAAAAACCAGAGTTGAGAGGCTCTCAAGAACAAAAGTAATGGTAAATATCTACTAACCACATCCTCTGTGCTAACCACATTACCTGGATTAGCTCATTCAATCTTCAATAAGATGAGTTTTTTCCTTCTGCAATGAAGTCAGAGGTGTTCCTCCCCCCGTTTTTTTTTACTTCTGACAGCTCTCAGGCACCACCCCTCTTTTTCCCCTCTCATCCCATATCTGGGCCAGCCCATAACTGTGAGCTGGGTTAGAGGTGTAGTTCAGAGGCAGAGAGATTGCCTAGCATGTGCAAGGTCCTGGGTTTGTCCCCTAGCACTGCAAAAATACATAAATGAAGACTTTTGGCACCAAGGTTACACATCAGGCCATTTAAGTCTGGGGGTAGTTTCTGGGCAACAGGAGTTTTTCATCAACGACACATTTTGTCTGAGCACCTCAGGTTACACACAAGAGGTGACATGTGATTCCTGTTCTCCAGATCCAGTACCAGATTGAAGGAGAAGGAGAAAAATGAAGAGTAGAAAGAAAGAGAAAGGAGGAAAGTGAGGGGGGATAGAAAGTGTTAGGGACCTGATGCCGCCATCACAGTCTGCATGCTCCTGGTTCTTCATGCCTCTTAGAATGAATGACCTCATGCTCTTTAGTTTCCCTCCCTGCAAGGCCACAACAGTCCAGAGAAGGTAAACCTAAGTTTCTGCAGGACTGAGTCCATAATAAGCAACCTGGCCTGTGATAGGTTAAAAGTAGCCCACCCATAAATAAGCAATAGCCGGGCCCACAAACATAAGAGGACCTTCCTTTCTTTGTCCCTCTCTCTCCTCTCTCCTCTTCCCTCTCTCCCTGACCTACCTTCCCAAATAATCTCCTGTCGGACCTCTCAGTGTGTGGCCTAGTTGTTGAGCAGCGCTGTGCCTCTTCAGGAAGGGAAAGGCGGAGGATGACAAAGAGGCGGACAAGGACAAGAAGGAAAGAAAGCCAGCCTGTGGGCTCTCTCCCTTGCACTATGCAAGCCCAGCCCTCTTCTGGGATCCTCACCAGAGTCCTACCCACTGAACACAATAAAATGGCCTTTTTGCCACTCCTTTCTCTCACACCATTTTCGCACACATTTGGGAGGCTGCCCTGCTCTGCCCAGAAAGCCTCATTATGCTGGTAGTAAATCCATTCAAATCCACTTAAGGCTCACCTAGAGTCAGCAGTTTCACATTCAGGGAGATGGTCAACCCACACCCGCCCCTGAGGTGCCCACACCTGCCTCTGTGAGGCAACTACAAGACACACTCCTGTTTCATAGACGAGGAAACTGGAACACAGAGAAGATTTTCTCCATTCATTCAACACAGAGTAGTGGGAATATACGGTCACAGTGGTGAGAGATAGCACAACTGGAGGGCCCTCTGGCACACGTGGCAATGTTGTTCTTGTTGTTCTTGTTCTCGAATGCAAGTCCTGCTGGGAAAACACTCTACAACTGAGCTGCACCCCTAGCCTCACATCAACATTTTAAATTAAATCTAAGTCCCCTCTTCCTCACTAACTCTACTTTCATTAGAGATATGAACATTAATATAGAGAGGTATGGCCACACAGCTAGAGAGAGACAGGCTTGGCACTTTATTTCCTTAAATCAAACATTTTCTATTTCTACATAGATCTTTGTGGAAAATTGGAATAATATAGAAAGGGAGGGGAAAAAACGTTGATTTCCAAGCCCAGTGCCCACGCTTAGGACAACCTTGTATTTGCTTCGCAGCTTCCTCCTTACAGAGCAATGCTGCCTCCTGGTGGTGTGGATCTTTTAAATTCAATCATTTGTTTCAGTTTTAACTTTTTTAAATGTACTTAATTTTTTAAACTAGGTAATGAACTTACACGTTCAATATTTTAAAAGTTCTAAGCAATATTCAGTGAAAACTCTCCATTCCTGTTTCCCTCAAAGGTAACAAAACTGACCAATTCTTTATACACAGCCTTCCAGGGATATTTGATACAAGCACCTGAATTCAGTGATGGTTTCCTTTTTAGTTCCTGCCTCTAAATAATGTATATTGCTCCTAAGAAATTTGGAAAAGCCAAGGAAATATATTTCTATACAAACTAATTCATTTCTGTATGATCTGTACAATCAGAGATAATATGAATCCCCAAAGTGGGAGAAATGATCAAGCTATATCCATTCATTAGAAATCACTGAGACCTATGCAATAATATGGACTATGTTTGTAAGCTGTTTGAAAGACAATACTCAAAGGACAGAGATGCCTAAAAAAATATAAACAACTCAAAACACAATGATATAATGATAGACAGAACTTTTGTAAATAATCTAAAAACCTACACAATATAAGGAAAATATAAAAGACTTTTGATGTCTCTAACAGCAATCTGCTTTAGTTCAAAATTAACAGACACTAGAGGCATTGACCATGAAGTGAGACATCTGGCCTCATCTCTGACCTTGAACACCCTGTGTTCCTGTGTGCTAGAATAGGTAGCTAGACCAATCTCAAGGTAAACTCCCTAACTACAAGGAATTGTTACATCTGGGTTAAAGTTAACTGTCTGGTTTCTGTAATTTGTACATGGGTAATGTGAACTGAGGAAATGAAATGTAACCACCTGAATGAGATCACAACTGTAAAACCCTATAGGAGGAAGAATATTAAGAAATCGTATAAGAAGAAGCTGCAACCTAGTAGGTGGTTGATCACGGGCACTACCTTTTTGAATGCAATTGACCCTTTGTTGACAAAATAAACTTATTATTTTACTTCCATTCAGCTTGTCTCTGTGTGCGTCACTTGCCAATTCCTTCCATAACAACAACAGTGATAAACTTCAAAATAAAATAAAAATACAATAAAACAATGATGTTCCATTTTTCCAGTTCAAATAAGAGTATTTTTTTCTAATGATAATCAACCACCAATTCTGAGCAGCATGTTGTGAAGCATAAATTGTGTCTGATTTGTAACAGTGCAACTAGACTCAATCTTTTAAGTTAATTAACTTTCTTGTTAATTAAAATGCTTACCTCCTTTGACTGAGAAGTTTCATTTTCATTATCTAAGTATAGAATAATCTTTATGTAGAAAATATGGCCATCATAGTAAAAAAAAAAAAAAAAAAAAAAAAAAACTAAGCTAAATGTAACCACAAAGTCGTGGTAAAACAAATAACAGTATGTTCACTTAATGAGATGCAAAAGTCATTATGTTTGCAAAAATTGGGGCATGTTTTTAATGTTGAGAAATTAAAAGTTGACTTTACAATAAGATCTCAAAACACAAGTAGACACAAGACTACACTGCATATTTAGGTGTTGGGACCCATAGTATTTTCTTTCAAAGCCCTTCCTTAATAAGCATGTTTATTTGATAAAATATTTTTAAAGAAATAAGCAGAATATATAAACTATAGAATAGCATGCATATGAGTCTGACCAAGTAGAATCTGGATTTAAGTCCAACAGCAAATCCCTATTAGTCCACACAGCCACAGACCAAGTCATTAATGTAAAGCTATAGAGGCTTTCATGAAATCTGGACTATCAGGTCAGATGTGTAGTACCCATCTAATCCCAGCACTTAAGGCAGGAGGATTGCTAAAAGTTCAAGTCTAACCTAGGGTATATAGTGGGTTCAAGGCAAGTCTGAACTGCACAGAGAGACCATCTCAAGAAATGAAACAAAACAAAACAAAAACTGTACTGCCAGAGCATATTTGAATTCTCTCAAACCTCCTTCATTACCAGAGATGTAAAAGTTATAGTAAAAATATAATCGGTTCAGTAGCCTGCCTTGCAAGCGCAAGGACCTGAGTTCAATCCCCGGCACCA